ACCCGTCAGCTGGTTTTCAAAGGCAGCAAACTGCACGGGAGGAGAAATTCCATCTTTCTCATAGAAAGTAGCTTGTGGCTTCTGACCACGTGCCTCTGGGTTGGCAGCACAACTACGTATCCTAGAGCCACCATAGTACCCTACAGTCAAGAAAGCAGCATATAACCATTAATGATTAATGGGGTTGTTGTTGTTAAGTGCCGTCGAGTCGCAGGCAACTCATAGCGACCCTATGAAGGAGAGTCCTCGACACTTGGGTGCCTTTCATCCTCTCTCCAGGTTCACAGGGTTTCCGGAGGCAAGCTATTATGGAAGTGGATGCCACTCTTCCTTCCAAGATTAATTAGGTAGCACTCCAAAAAAAAATTGTCCCCCCATATTTGCTTACTCCTTACCTTTATCCTGACATAGACTACCTCCATACTCTGCTCCTGGTTAATGAACATAACTGAGTGGATGTCCCTTGAACTGGATAATCTGTTGCGTGAATAACAAACTCAGAGTTCGTCTTTAAGCCAGTGTTAAGTTCCTAACTCCTCCGTTACATCTGCTCTATAGAAAACATCTGTAGCAGAGTAAATCACCCCAGACTGAGAAAGACCAGACCAGAGTGTGTGTGTGTGTGTGTGTGTGTGTGTGTGTGTGTGTGTGTGTATATTTTTCCCCTCTCTAAGTGTATTTTGAAGACCTAGTTGGAAAATTAGTGAAAACTGTAAATCTGTTTGCAAATCTGGTCATGTCTAACTCTTGAGATTAGGGCAAAGTTTGCAATTTAAAAGTAAAACAGTAACAAACCCCAGTTAAGTGTGTCCTCAGGCACTGCCGGCAGAGCCTTCACTCACTTGCACGGGCAGCGGATTTATTACCGGCACCCGCCACATTCCCCAGCAGACACCCCTCGAGTATTTACTGGAGACAGTCTGCACTTCCTCTGTAGACTAATATATTATTATAAATTGACCTAACCTGTTTCCTTTTCATAAGTGCTATGAAGTTCAGATTTCAGGTATCAGCATAGTGAAGAGGTCCCTCCACGGTGCACTGTGAGCCAGTTTACTTTTAAAAATTAAAGAGAGACAGCATGAGGCCCTGGGTAACTTTCAGTTTAGTCTTGTTGGGGGAGTGGGGGAAGCAAACGAAACACTCATGTAAGAAATCAAATATGAAATCTTAATTAAAAAACACAGTCTAAATGCAGGCGTTAGTATGCTATGTGTGGCGCAGTTTAGCAGGATATCAGATATTTTAGCCATATCTGACGGCAGAAACGATAATTTTTCTGTTTATTATCAACAATAACTAGAGGACTTCAATGTATACTTTCAAATGTGTATTTGTGTTGCTGTTACTGTTGTTGACTCAGGTATCACTGAGTCAGCTTCGACTCACAGTGACTGTATGTACAACAGATCAAAACCTGTGCCAATCTCACAATCCCAGCTGCACTAAAACGCAATGCTGCAGTCACTGTGTCAACTCACACATTGAGGATCTTCCTCTCCTTTACTGACTTTTCAAGCATGAAGCTCTTTTCCAATGACCCGCTCCTCCTGACAACACGACCAATGACCATTTAATACATTAAATGATAGTGAACTTCTTCCCCAACTCGTTACACAAAGGCAATCCGATGCCTGTGAGGTCAATCAGGTGAGGCCCATGTGCACAATCACTGTTTATGATTTTTAAAAATGGACAGTGTTTGGTGGAGCTTCCCGATTAAAACAAGCTTGGAAGCAGGAGTGGCATCCACTTCTGAAATGGCTTGCCTCCGGAAACTCCATGAAAGTGCTCAGGTCTGTCATTCATAGGGTCGCTACGAGTCGTCTATGACTCAATGGCACCTAACAACAACAACAACATTTGTAATTTTTAACTCACTCATTGTACAAAATGAAATTATTAACTATCCAGACTCATTTCTGTCACCAAGTCCACACAAGTCAAGGATCAGTCTTCCTTCCTTGTTTCTAATTTTTTTTCATTCCAGCCATCAGTTATGAATGCAGCTTGAGTACATGTCTGATCAATATCAGAGTACAAAAGTTGGTGGTGGGTGTTACGTCCACTGAGTCAGAACTCACTCTTAGCTGACTCACCAGAAGGTTTCCAGAGTCTGTGAATCCCACAGGAGGAAAGTGCCCATCTTTTCCACAGCTGGTGGGTCCAACTGTGCACTTTGGGATTAGCAACACAATTCCTCACCAGCCGGCTACCAGATGAAGGAGCTGGAAACAGTCATCACCTTCAGCAACTTTGGCTTTAGGGTTAGTGTATATATCTGAATAACAGTTATAAGTACAGAATAACAGACCATGAAGTAGTTGTCAGAACACAGCAAAGAAACAGAGCATACTAAGTTCAACATCAGGAAAGGTGTACGCCAGGGATATATCCTTTCTTTATAAGTAATCAATCTGTGTGCTGGACAAAGATTGAAGTTATCAATAATTTCATTTTAACTGGCTCCACAATTAGCTCCTAAGGTAACAGTAGTCAAGAAATCAAAAGACATTGGCAAAATCTGCTGATGTCAGTTTAAAGTGCGATTAGAAGGCAGCCACAATTGGGAACTGCATTGCTGAGAAACTGGGCTTTGCTGGCTCACACAAGAATCCTGATCTTCCCATTGGCAACTTGTGAAGAGGAGATGCAGGTAAGCTTGGACATTAATGTCAAGAATTGGGAGCTGTATTGGTGAGAAGCTGGCGCTTCCTTGAGACTTATCTGCTCAGGCAGGAATAGCCACCTCCACTCCGTCTCCCCAACAAGCTCCAGGAGAGGGGAAAGGGACATGACCATTAGCAACTACTGAGACCTGGGGGATGCACTATTAATATTTTGTCACTTTTCTGAGCCTTTTCCCTGAGCAATAAATCTAGGGAAGGACTCCTGGGACTGGGGAAAACATCCCCCATATCAAGCTACAGGACAGGACAGAGAAACAGGCCCACCATAGCTGGAAAAAGGGAAAGATCCCAGCTACTGCCCCTCCAACCAGAGAAGGTGCCATAGGAATCAGGGAACAGATCTGCCCATACATAACCAGTGGAAGAAAACTGCTAGCAGAAAATTCAATTGGGGAAAACATGTTATGTCTGCAACTTATTAACAACATCATAAAAACAAGGAACTGTTAACAACCTACACAGACACAACAGAAACACCCTCACACATAAAACAAGAATTTCATATAATGTCAAAAAAACAGTAGGCATCTTCAGCCATTATGAAAAAACAACACTCTTTTTCCTAAAAAAAAAAGGTCAGACTCCAGACTCAACAGATAACTCCAGAGACAGAGAAACATAAGCAATATATTGATGTGGAGTTTTATGAACAGCTATTAAAAAAGTTACAAAGAATGGGAAAAAAATTGAAACCATAAAAGAAGTGACCCGAGATCAGGGAACCAGATAAAATAAATAACATGGACTTACATAAACAATTACTGAAGAGGTTACAAATGACAGAAAAAAAGAATTTAAGCCATAAATAATAAGATATAAGAATTTTTTAAAAAAATCATCATAAGGCAGAGAGAGTACAACTGACACAGAGTGTACGTACACAATCAATAGGGTGATAAGAAACTCTCCTGATTAGAAATGACGTATGGCAATGACATCTCACAATGAGATGGGTCTCAGAATGAAAGTTTCTAGAATACTACAGGGAATTCTCAAGAAATAGACTAATAACCCAAAAACAAAATGAGCAAAAGACTTCACAAAAGGAAGACATTCGAATGGCCAAGGACACATGAAGAAATGATCAAAACCTCTGGCAATGAGAGAGATGCAAATCCAAACCACAATGAGGTATCATTTCACTCCAGCAGCAGTAGCAAGATTTGCTAGGACAGCAAGCAATAAATGTTGGGGAGGAGTGGCAGAGAGATTGGAAATTTCATACAATGATGGCAGGATTGTAAAATGATATAACTACCCCAGGAGGCAGTTTGGTATTTTCCCAAAAAGCTGGACATAAAATTCTCATAGGAAGCAGCTATCCAAATACTAGGAATACACCCTTAATTTAAACCACTTAAGCTTATATGTGAAGGGTAAAAACTTTGAGAAAAAGATTTAAAGATCTATGAATCTGTAGAACTCAAGGGCCCTATAGATTTATTCCCATTATCTCCTCTGAACTTAAATAATTGCTAGAACAAATGACCAATTAATTACAAAATAATTCTTTTTTTTAGAAACTAATTCTTATCATAACATAATACTTGAGTTGTGGTACTCAGAGGCTCCAAAACCAACAAACACATGGGCCAAACTCCCAGGAAAGTCTAAGTGAGATAAACTGATAATCAGAAGCTAGAAACAAGGAGAAAATTAACCTAAGAAGATTTGTCAGTAAAAATATCTGCATACATCAGAAAACTAGTGAGAAAAGCAAAACAAGATAAAACACTTAACAGCAAATAAAAAAAATAAAATAAAGCCTGTGAAAACTCTACAGCTTCGAATTCCCTCGCTATAAAAAAAAAATAAATAAAGCTTCCCAGAGAAGTAATGACACGTAGAAAGAAAGGCTAAGTAATGTCAGCTATTCCAGAGAAGAAACTAAAATCAAAAAGTGGGGGGGGGGGGACCCCACCTCTCCTGCTACTAGGAACAGCTATGTTGTTGTTTTGTGCTACAAATTTGGCATCAACCCATAGCTGACCCTCCAGCAGGTTTTTAGAGGCAGTGCTTGTATGAGAGGAGATTGCCCATCTTTCTCCTATGGAGCAGCTAGTGGATACAAATCACATGCCTTTAGGATTACAACACAGATTTTTACCATTGGGCCACCAGAGCTCACTAGGAATGAGTACACATGGTAAAATATTTTAGAAACTTCACACTGATAACTTTGCAGTATCTCAATAAAATTGCTACATGTTCTTATAATGAAGTGCCATTATCCCAATAAAATGCTTGAAATAGTATGCCATGAGGCATATTAAAATACGCTCAATGAATATGTTGATTCTTTTACGTTACCAAGCATGAAGTAGCAGTCTCCTTGGTGAAGAGGTATTGTCAAACCAGGTGTCTCGATGTCCCATGAAATCTTAAAACCCACATGCCAAGTGTCAGGATCTCGTCCTTCGAGCTGGGGGCCATCTTCTTTTTCCTCTTCAGGGCCTATCAAAAGAGAAGAAAATGTTCAGAAAGGAAATGTCCTATTGAAATCTCTATCATGTACAATGGTTATATTTCAGAAATACTTCTAAAGTTTTAAGGAAACATTGATAATAACTAAAATATATCTTACATTTGTCATTTTAAAATATACTTTAAAATACATAACTTTGCTGTATCTTTTCTATGTTACATAAATACACAAATTAAAAAATGTAAATAAAATGGGAAAGGACCACTAAAAATTAAGAAAATAAGAAATTATTTTGCTTAATTACAAGCAAATAATTAGATATGAATTAAATGGATGAGTATTAAGGAATATATTAATTACCAAAGTTGATCTCAGAAAAAGTAGAAAATCTAAACAAGCCATAAAAAGATACAGGAAGTTAAATAAAAATTTTTAAAAAGATACAGAAAGTTGTTAAAAAATATTTCAAAAGAAAATGTGGGCACTTAGGAATTGAGAGAAAGTCTACCAAACAAAT